CCAACATGGCCGACCCGAGTTCGATTCCTCCGCCCCTCTCGGAGAGCCCGGCAAGCTACCGAGAGTATTCGATATGCCAGACACAGTAACAACAAAGTCTCCAATGGAGACGTTACTGGGCCCGCTTGAGCAAATCGACGATCAACGGGAGGGCCTTATTTATTATCTCAGAGAATAAGGGAATTGTTTCCTTTTAAAATACGTTAAAACTTGGGAGTTGGAAGCCAATTCTACTTCACAGAACAGGCTTTTACTGAACAGTATCCTCCAGTTCTAAAAACTGTGTGAAACATCAGGCTCCAGTTCAACTGAACAAATTAACTTACAAGTGATAGTGAATGTTAGGCTAGGAATTGATTCAAAATGGGACACATCTCCTCCCTAGAACCAGGAACCCACAATGTTCTCATGTTTTTCAGCTATTTTGGACTCAGTTTCATTTCCATACCTATTATTGACTTTATATTTAACTGAAACCAAGACCCAACAACTGTCTCACTTCTTTTATGGTCTGCACTCACAGGTTGCCATAGTTGTAGTCTCCAGACCAGCAAAAGAATCCAACAATCATCTTGTTTTTGTCTTGGGGCCATATCTGACTGTACTCAGGTAAAGGCTGAAAAGTCCTGGCTCTGTTCTCACTCTTGGTAGAACTCAGGGGATCATAAGTGGTGTCATGGATTGAAAATGGATTAGTGGCAGGCAAGGCATGTGCCCTACCCATTGTACTATCCTCTGGTCCCTGATCTCTTGCTGTACCTTCTGGACCAGAACAACAAATCAGTAATGTCCTGTTCCTCCCTCTGGTCTAGCTTTATAGACCTACATTGGAAGGATACACACAGAGAACTTCTGCCCAGAAGCAAGAACAATTATTAGTCTTTTCAGCCTTTACCTTAAAGTTGTGTCTGATACCAGCCCCAGTCTTCATACTGACCTCTTCTATGTTCTTAAACATGAGATAATATAATGAAATTTTCTGTTTTCATGCTAGATAGACCTTTGTGACTTAAGCTACCACATAAGCTTCTGTTGCAGCCCAGGGCAATAACACACTAATGGGCTTTATTCAGTCCTGGCATGGTGTTACAGCTAACTTGAGTGCCAGAATCCATCTGGGACTGGTTTAAAACCTGAAACCAGGACCCAAGTATTGCCACTTTTTCAGCTCTTGGCCTGATCTTGTCTCCACTCTTACTCTCAGAAATGAATTTTTTTCGATCCAGAAACGGGGACCAAGGAGGTCTCTTTCTTCAGACCTTTACTTTGACTCATAGTTGGTCTCAGCACTAGTTCCCACACTGACCCCCAAAGCAGAACACAGAAATAGTGTTTTCATAAGTCTATGTGTTGGTTTCTTCCCACCACAGAAGCAGGAACCTCCAGTGACCTTTTTTTCATCAGTTGCCAGCACAGATTAACTGATGGCCTCAGTCCCAGTTAACATAACAGTTTTTTTTTACTGAGTTTCAAACATGAAAATCTCAATAAACTTCCTCAGTCCTTGGCCTGGATTTACTGTTAATATCAGTCCCAACAATGGCCTCTTCCTTTGCTATTATTCTGCCCCAGGTTTCTGTTTTGGAGTTAGGCCTTGGCAGGTATTAGCTTTTTCTCCAAGATTTAACCTGAACACCTTTTTAAATATACCTATACACATAGGCATTCAATCTGATCCTTACACTGATGCTCTTTTTGGTCCTGGGATAGTACCTGTACTTGTCAATCTTTCATCCCAGAATCAGATTTTACACTATTCTCACATTCAGAAACAATGACATAGGTATTTTTTCTTAGACCTAAACCTGAACTTTCTGGCCCCAAACCAGGATGACTTAATAGATTCATCCCCAGAACCCGGAATTATATACATTATAGAGTTCCTGAAAGGTTTTGGCCTAAGAAATGACTGGGAGTTCTTTGGTTATATGCCTGCACCAGGTAATGAATTTTACTATGTTCCTGGAATAAAACCTTTCACTGACCTCTTCACTGAAGAACTCGGAAGGTATCCATCTGCCATCTGAAATATTAATGGTAAGAAGATTATTGTTTGTACAAAGTCTGAAATAGTACCCAGAATCCATATTGGTCTTTTTCTTTTCCCAAATAAAGGCTGGATTTTGAATGGGAATTTGTATTGACACCAGAAATGGAAATCAGTATCTATACTGACCACTTTGATAGTTAAAACAACTGACTGAAGCTCAGTACTGACCAGTGGTTAGTACAATATTCTCATGGGATACTTCTTCAACATTGTTTTGGCATCAAACTCTGGTACAATGAATGAGTTTTATCTTTGAGTCTCGCCCCAGGGGGTTTCACTGGTCCTAGGATGTGCTACACCAACTATCATGGCCTTAGATCTGGGTCTTGCCCCACCTAGTTCATAGCCTCAGACTAGACCACAGGACTTAGTTTTCATCCTTATCTTCAGTATAGCCTTGGAGTTAATTTGGGGGTTTTCCCAAGATATTATATGGTTATGGAGATGAACCTTTGCTCTGAATACTATTAATCAGGACTTCACTCTCTTTCTCAGCTCACATTCTCTCACCAGCTTCTGCTGCAGGCATGTCCTTGGCTCCAGGCTCAATCTGTACCCCAGTCATAACAGGAGTTAGAGAAGATAATCCTACATAAGACTAATTCTCCATCAAAGATATTTAAACGTTTATTTTTATACAATGTAAGACCTTTTGGTGAATCAGGCAATAAGAAATACAAGTTAGAGTTCATTTCCAGACCAAAAATGAATGAGGGTAATCCCACAAAGCAAACTCAGTGAATATAGACAGAAAACCTAAAAGTGATAATAAATAACCTGAGGGAAAATGGATTGGCTTCCAGGTAAATGCAGACCTGTAAATGATTGTAGTCAGCAGCAATTCTAGCAGCACCAAAGTTGTCACTGGAAGTAGAACGAGGGAGATAAAATGACATGGACCTTGGGTGTCTTCCAATTGTTGGTTCATGCATGGGCTCACACAGCTAGACTGAACCTTTAACATAAGGTGAGAAAGCCTGGCTACCAAAAGTCTCTCATCTCATTTGGATTCAATCCTTTAATCACATAAATGACAGATTGTTTTGCCTGCTAAAAACTGATGTGAGGGTAAAAGAAGTATGGTAATGATGGGAGACGATCAAGTCTCTCATATTTATAAAGTCTAGTAAAACTTGCACCTGTTTTTGTCTCCATTAACCCTCTTTCACACCAACACTAAAATCTACTCATTTTTCATACCAACCTGCACTGATGTGGAACAATTCTCCCCTCCTTTCCTTAACTCCAATGGTGATAAGCTATACAGCAGACTGCAGGTTCTCCTATAAACAACAAAGAGCAAAGCTTGACTATAGTACATACACAGGCGACAACCTGATCCCTATGCAAGTGTATCTCTTACCATTTATAGTTCCTATTTGTTTAACATTTCCTGTCTCCTAGATAGTGTTTTCAGGTTGCTTGGCCACATTCACAACCCAACCCCCACCTACCCCAATATTTCTAGAATCTCCTGCAGGACACTAGCAGGTGAAGTTGAGGAAGTGAATGAATATGACAAAGATCATAAGAAAGGTGAAACAAGCCCTGAATTTACTTGGAAGACACCTGCCATACTCTTAGTTCGTAGCAATACAATGCATTGCCTTTTGTCAAACCAACCTCCAGAGATTTTTGTCTGTTTATTCTTCCTTTCCTTCCTTGCAGAAGTGACCAGCCTTAAAGCAGGCCTATGGAAAAAAGAGATGACAGAGCAAGACAGCCAGGAAACAGGTGCCCAGTTAAGCTGACCCACACCAAAGACGAGTCATAATTATCTGATTCCAACATTTCCAGTGCCACTGGTACAAGAATTTCGTTTTGTTTAGGCCCTCTGTTTCAGGATTGCAGACAACAACAATGTCTTCTCTTGACATCACTCTTCCCATCACTCCTTTCTTCAAATTTCATGATTCACCACTAGGTGTACCACTTCCCTCTGCCTTGCGCAGCATAAATTGGGGGAAGGGCACAACATTCCAGAAATCAGGCTGCGTGGTGGTCCTTGCAAGTACCACTTCAACTGCACCCTCACGCACAAGACTCATCTTTTCACGCACCCTATTTTGAGTGGCAGCGAGCGAGGGAAGGCACACAAATGGCAAAAAGCTATAGGGTGGTGGACATTTAGAAAGCTAGACATCGAGCAGGCCTGAGCAGCCGCCAAAGGCTGCGTCTTCCCGGACAGATACACCGCAAGACACAAGCACACACCTGCAGAACTACTCCCCCATCCCCACACACCCCCGAAACCCCTCCGCCAGAAGCACACACCTCCTGAAACGCCGGTCATTTTCTTGCTCCTCCTTTCGCTCAAGCCTCTCCACTACAGAAGCAACCTGCTGCGCGCCGAAAATGCCAGCCTACCGCACAGAAAGCAGACTCTGGCATCCAGGAGGTGCCTGTGGGAAGGGAGCTCAGAGGCCCCACGACGCCCGTTCCAGCAGCGTGGGCTGCGGAGCCAGGGGCCCCCGCCCCGGCCCCAACCGGCGCCCCCGGGCCCCGACGAAGGGCCGCTCCGCTGCGCCATTTCTCCCGCGGCAGCCTCCCCCACGGCCCTCCGGGCGCAGACAACATCGAGGGCGGGGCGCGGGCGTGGGCGCCTGCAGCGCTGGCCAGGAAGCCGCCCGCGCGCTTCGCTCCCAGGCGATCTGGGGGCGCTTCTGGCCGGCCCGAGCCCTGGGCCTCCCCACCTCCTCGCCGCCAGGGTCCTGCAGCCGCACCCCTCTCCCCCGGACCCGACCCTCGCCCCGCCGCTCCCCCCGCGCCGGCCCACCGAGGGCCGCGGGCTGTTGTCAGCCTGCCAAGGCGGGAGACCACCCTCCTTCGACTCCTGGCCGCCGACGCCCCTACCTGCCTCGGCGGGCCCCAGGCCCAGGCCTGCCCCTCGTCCCGGCGCGCCTAGCTCAGCCGACCGCCAGCGCTCCCTGCTTTCCGTGTGGCCACCGCAGAGGCGCGCCGCCCCCGACTCTCGCGCACCGCTGCACCAAACTGGGCAGGGGCTGCGCACACTGCGACACAAACAGCTCGCGGCTAGGGCGTCGGGAAGGGGGCGGAGGGATACTGCGTGAAAGGGCTCGGCGCCCCTTCCCAGGTCCATCGTAGTTCCGACCCAGAGGAGGCGGGGCTACGGTGAGCCCCAGCCCAGAGGCGGGATAACCCGTGATTGCCTCAGTAGACTGGCCCCCAATATCTACGTGGCGACCACCCCTGGCTTTCCTGGCACTTTAACATGTGGGACTGGCCTGTGATAGGCGTTGGGGGGCACGATCAGCAGGTTGGGAGTAGCGGATGGATATCAAAGCGCCCCTCTGTATGTGTGAACCCCCAGACTATTTCTTCTCTGACCATCTTCCCCTCCCCAATCAGAATCGCCATATTTCCTTGAGGCTGATGGGAGAAGTGGGTATCAGCACACCAAGCTGGGAAGAGAGAGGAGATTTGAGACAAGATTATCCTGGAGGTTCTGGGGTGAGCTTCCCACGTTCTTTCATTGCTTCATGTGGCCACCCAGGAAAGGAAGGTGGGAATGGGCACCAGTGGGGGTGTCAGCCCTGCCCCCCTCTAAAGGAAGGCTGATCTCTGCCTCTAAGCCCAGGAAAAAAACGCTGGCAATACCAAGATTTATGTTTTGTACACAATGAATTTTGTCTCTGTCTGTCTATTTCTCTCTCTTGTGCTTTCATACTTTCCATATACGTCTGTCTAGTTTCACCAGTCATTTCTTTGTAGAAGGCCGCATCATGCATCCACTTCCTCAAGCAAACACCTGGAGGTTCTGGAATCCTTTGGCTCTGTCACCTATACAATCTCTCACTAGTCTTGAACCCCCTTTTCTGTGTGTGCTAAATGCAGGCAAGCAGAGCAATTCTCGCTAAGAACAACCTTGTTGAGTACAAACCTGTTGGCTTTGCAATCCATCTTAAAATCTATTTTAATGGTTCCTCGCTGTGGTATGCTGAATAAAGTTTCCCCTCTAAGACGTCGTATCCCCTTTCACAGAACCTGTATATATATATATATATGATGCTGTGTGGCAGATGACAATTAATTTCGTTGATACAGTCGAGATTGGTAATCAGTTGAATGTTGTAATAGGATCACACTGGATCGTCTTGGTCCATTGCAATCGCAAGGGTGCTTTAAATTTGGAAGAGGAGGCCCAAGAATCAGTATCCTCGTGAAGTAGCATGAGAAAGACTTGACAGTCCAGATTTTTTTTTGTTGTTTGTTTGTTTTGGAGTCACATCCGGCGATATTCAGGGGTTACTCCTGGCTCTATGCTCAGGAATTACTTCTGGCAGTGCTTGGGGATATCAAGGATCAAACCGTGGTCGGCCGCGTTTGAGGCAAGCATCCTACTCGCTGTACTATATCTAAACCCTAACAGTCCAGTTTTTGAAGATGGAAATCAGAGGTTTGTGAAAGTAGGAAGTCCCGAGAAGCAGGAAATGACAAAGAAACAGATTTTCCTTAGAATCCTTGGAAGAATAAAGTCTGCCATCATCTTCCTTTTGGACCCATGAGATCCTTTGCATTTTTACAGCCTCCAGGATTGCAAGACAACATGATTTCTCTATTTGAAACCACTAAATTTGTGGTAATTTGTTACAGCAGCAGTACCTTCCAAAGACACCATCCTGATTAATACCCCCAAATACCTTTGCTGGGTTTTAGGTGCTTGGCGGAACAATTTGGCAGGCTCATCTCTCACCACTTTAACACCCTCTTGAACCACTGACATTATGTTTTCATAAAGTTTTGCAATGGATTGATACATTCTGAAGTAATTTTTATTTATTGAAAATCAATGATGTTTTTCTGGATGAAAACAGAACTTGATTCTTACGATAAATCTTCATATCAGAATTGTTGTTATTATTAGATATTTACTACCACTGTATATTTAGATGAAAGGAAAATACCGTAGAGTATATACTGCTACTGGAGATAACAGATATTAATTCTTAGAGGAAAATCTCTTTTATTCTCTGATATTTAAATGGTTTAGCTGAATTGTGGATTCTTTTTCCTTTGTTCCACAACCATCTCTCATTGTTGAATGTTAGTGTTTGCTTTTCCTGGCTTGTTTTAGTTATATTTACTATATTTGAAATATTTTAACATATACAATGATACATATTTTACTTACTAGCATAATTCAGTATAAGCAAAATAAATTTCTATTCTTAGTGGCGTATACATTCACTTGTGGTTTCTGTTTTACTCAATTTCCTACACCAAAATTTTGCAATCACATCACTGCAAGATTCTCTGGTAATTTTCAGGGTTCTGGGACATTGATTCAAACAGCTTAACTGACACAGGTATGGATTTTCCAAATTTCATCAATTTTACTGTGAGACTTTGAAATATCTGTGTATGATTTGTTGTCCGTTCATTTACAGAAGAGTCACTGTTGCTGATAAATATTTATTGAACTGAGAAAAGTGCTACTAAGCTCTTTATTTTTCGACGCTTTTCATGCATAATCAGACAGTGATTATATCATTTTTAAGTCTTAAAATTATTACCAGGCTAAAAAAAATCAATGCACCAAAAATCAATATATTAGTTTTTGGGGAATGGGGGCATTTGAGCAACACTCAGTGATGCTCAGGGATTACTCCTGGTGGTGCTCGGGGACCATCTGGGATGCTGGGGATCTGCATTCAGGGATCACTCCTAGAAGTGCTCCAGGGACCATATGGGATGCTGTGGATTGAACCAGGGTCAACCACGTGCGAGGTAAATGTCCTACCCACTGTATTATCTCTCTGGCCCCTCATGAATTCTTATATGTAAACAATTATATGAAATAAATTTTAAATAACTGTCCCTTTTATGATTGTGTCAGAAAAATCACGCATCTAGGGATCAATCTAACAAAGGAGATAAAAGACCTGTTTAGTGAAAGAAAATAAAGAAAACGTCTAAAAGAAATAAAAGAAGACACAAGGCAGTCTAATGGATTAGAAGAATCAGTATCATTGAAATGGCCATCTCACCCCAAGTAGTTTACAGATGCAACATAATTCCCATTAAAATTCTCTTGGCACTGTAATTTACAATACTGATTATTAAAAAGAATTATAGTTGAATGTCAATTTTAAGCATTATCTTTTAATTTGATGGAATCGTCGCATATTTTAAACAAAATGTGTTTAATTGGGAGGAATAAAACTATTTTGAATATTTCAAACAAAAAGAAATTCCTTTGTATACTGTAAGGTCATAAAATAAATACCTGCAAAATTCATATGAAACCATAATACTCCCAGAATAGGCAAAACAATTATTAGAAGAAGGAGATAGAAAATATTATGATTCCAGACTTTTGCCTTTACTACAAAGTTCTAGTAATCATAACCACATGGTACTGAACAAATACAGATTCTCAGATTAGTGGAATAGAACTGAAAATCAGATATCAACCCTCAAATGTATTATGACAAAGGTGTTAGCTCTATGAAGTGGAATAAAGAGAGTCTCTACAACAAATAGTACTGGGGAAACTGGTTGTGCACATGCAAAAACTACTTAGATCACTAAATAATTAGGGATCTAAATAATTGTACACAAATGTCACAAATGTCAATTCAAAATTAAAACCATTTACATAGGAGCTGGAGAGATAGTATAGTGGGTAGGGCTCTTCCCTTGCACAAGGCTGATTCAGGATTTGTGTTCCTGCACCACAGGCTCCCTGAGCACTGACAGGAGTGACCCCGGAGTACAGAGCCAGGAGTAAGACCTGAACAATGCGTGGTGTGACTCCAAAACAAACAGCAACAACAAAAAGATATAAAATATTTGAGAAAAACATAAGCAGCAATCTCCGAGATCTTGATCTCAGAGAGGTCTTTGATAATACAAACTCTTTGACAAAGAAGACAATTGCAGAAACAAACTAATTGGACTATATTAAACTGAAGAGCCTCCATACACAAAAGACATGAGGCCCTAGATAGAAAGTCACGATACTGTCTGGGATAAAATATTTGCACACCACACAACAGACAGAGAATTAATTTCCAAGATATGTAAGGCACTCAAAGCTCAACAACAACAACAAAGCCATCCAAAAATGGGGAGTGAGCAGACATTCCTCAAAGAAGACATAAATATTCAGCAAAGTACATGAGAAAATTTGTTCATCATTTATCATCAAGTAAATACAAAGCAAAACATAGTGATATATCACATCACAATAGTGAGAATGAATTACATGAAAAAATAAGAATATGCTAGCAGGAATATGAAAAGATTTCACAGCTGGAGGTATTGTTGCATGGTTAAAACACTTTAAAATACCAATTGGAGACTTCTTGAAGCATCATAATTCGAACGTGCATATCACCCAGGAATCTTCTGGGAAACTACTCCAAGAAAACAAAAACATTAATCCAAAAAGACTTATGTATAGCTATGTTCATCACAGCGCTATTTACAATGTTTACTAAATATGGGACAACTCAAGTGCTCAACAACACATGAATGAAGAAATTTTATGCATACAATGAAATAAATTAAATTTAAGCTATGAGAAATTTAAGTTTTTCAGTTTGCTGCAACTTGAATGGAATTGGAGCATGTCAAGCTAACTGACTAATTAAAGTTAGTCAGAAAGTAAATGATATATACCACAAACACTAGTTCATATGCAGAACATAAAGATACAAACAAAGGGATTATATAGTTCCCAATATAAACTGAGGGACATAATAAATACAACTGGGAAATGAGAGGGTATGGGAGGGAAGAAAGGAAAAGGTTTGTGAAATAATGATAGAGAGATTTTGAGACACTGGTAGAGGGATTGGTGTAGCAGTTCCACAATAGTAAAGCATTGAATTCAATAGTATTATAATCTGTTATCTTAAAATGGATATTTCAATAACACTTAATTACAATAAGTGATAAAAATAATACAGCAAATGCAAGACTGAAAGAGATGAGTGACCTATGTCAGTTACACTACTAAGCAACATTGTTTGCCTCCTCTTAAATTCATATTCCAGTCTGATTGTAAAAAACATGGTTCCACTCTCCCAATGTCTCCACGGGCACCTGTGCCATACTGACTAGCACCTGAATATAAATTTTTGTAGTGTCGAATACTAGGATTTGAATGCCTAAACTAAACATTAGAAGTTCCAAGGGATCCATTCTATTTTGTGTAGACATGGTGCATGCTGTATTATCCATCTTGCTTAGTCATATCCATGGTATATGATACGGTTAATAGGAAATGAGAGAATATGAAGAATTAGAGGCACCAAACTGTGATGTTTCCTCTTTCAGAAAGCCCTCTGTAGCCTACACAACTGTTTGATCCTACTTTTTACTTAATGCACCTTACATCTTGCACTTAGGTTTCTCACCCTCAAATATTAATAAAGACAGAGCTCCAATTCAAGTCCCCATTTTCTTCCCTCACAAATTACCTTTTTTCTCTTTTCTCTTTATCT